AACAAGTAGGTAGGGGAATACAAATTTTGCAAAGGATCTTACTTATCGAAGTGTTTGATAGGTGATAAAAATATGGGGTCGGACTTTACGGAGCCAATTATCATCGGGCTTCGGGCTGTGAAGTTTGAATCATAGTAAACCCAGAGCTAAAAGAAATACTTCTTGTCAAAGAGGTCCGAGCTCTTTGAGCAAATTGTCAACGCCTCTGCTCCAGCTAATGGGAATTGTTCTGTACACCTCTGGTGGTTCAGCTAGCTAGGTTCAGCTACACTGTTTTATTAAAAGGAAGAGAACACTACCTTGAAAAGGGGTTTGGGATTGGGTAGGGTAAAACACATGGCCAATATCGTAATTGCGTGCTGTTTTAGAACGAATTATTAATACACTTTCACAAGCCGGCCTTCGGAAGGTCAAATATATGCTCAAGATTGTAATTGTGCGCTCAAAATGACACTAGTCCAGAAGAATACTGATCATTTGGAATTTTCTGTAGACCTGACTTATCCTTCACCATTCCTAGTCACCCGCTGCAGCCGAAGCACTCTAGAGATACCATGAGGTCAGTCATCAGCAGAAAAACTGAATCGTCCCAGCATGTCGGAAAAACTCATGAAGTCACTGAGCAGACATTCAATACAGAGCATACTTCATATCACAGGGCTGTCTATTTCGACCGAAATTCTCTTGATCTAGTAAGCAGCTTATATTATGCCACATTCTCGACAAGTTTATGTCGTCGTATAAAAAGTAGGGATCTAAATTCAAATTTCGTGCTGTTAAATGTGAATCATGGCAAACGCAGAGCAAAAAGATATACTTCCTGTCAAAGGGGTCCACGCTCTTTGAGCAAGTTGCCAACGCCTCTGCTCCGGCTAATGGGCGTTGTCCTGTACACTTCTGGTGGTTCACCCAAACTGTGCAGACTATACTAGAGGCTTCGCTGATAAGCACTCCACAAGCCATCAGTTCCAACGGCCCCTATGCATATGTATGTCTCCACTGGCTGCTCAGGATGAGAGCACACCAGTCGGATGAATCAAAAATCCTTAAATGTGACACGGTAACAAACGACAACGTCGCTTACAAAGAAAAAAATAGAGAAGGCCGATATTTCTGTCCCAACCCTCCAGGCTGCCGAATGGACAGCAACGGCAGCCGAACTTCGAGAAATGGATATGGCTTCCTTTACAGTTCCGGCAGGGAGTGATGATAATTTACTTATACAAAGCGGCAGCCACCACGCAAAATAACTCCCTACAGACAATGTAGCTGCTGTGGCTCAACATCATTCGTCTGGTTGCGGACTGGTATTATACAGCTTTCCATGCTTTTGGGAAACTTGTCACATCATGTCCTTGCGAAATTCCGCAAAATCGACAACTTTTCATAGCGTTGCAGACATTTCAGAGGTGTAAATCACAAACATCGAAAACGGTCTGCTCAATTACAAGCTGGGCTTCTCTAACTGAAAATATCACAAAGTACTGTACTTGTTAGTTTGTTTTTAGGCGAACATGGCTTGGAACCAGACATGGGAAGCATAAAAATTTCGGTAATTTGGGCAGCGCGCAAAAGGACAAATTAACAGTTAAAACCTACCTGTATCTGTGAGAATTCATGGCTTGTTGCTGGAGAGCCCGGGGTGGTAGCGTTTTCCACCAGATCACCCAGATCTTTAGCATTAGTCGTTACTCTTTCTACTAAGCGGGAAATGATCACTTTGAGTTCATCGACCGAGGGTTCCGTTGGTCCACCTTCAGCTGGATGCTGAGACGTGCTCTGATGTTGTAAGTTCTTAAAAGTACGAGAAATAACATTATGCGAATGAGGAGACCTGTACGGTGTATGACCCACTTAGAAGTGACCACTACTCAGCGTCCACAAAGTCATAACAGAAACAATCGCGTCTTAACAACTTGGTACTTTTTACCATGACGACCACCAAATCAACAGCAGTAAAACCAGAAAACATAAACAGAACAGAATTTTAGTTTGGGAACGACAGGAAAACAGGAGTATCCTCACATGGTCTGGCATGTCGGTGGCAGCGCACATTAACTGTCCAAGAGAGGGCTTTTTACAGACAACCGTCTGGTCAGATTCTATGACAGATTCGAGCGCACTGGGCAGAGCATGATCGTTTGCGGTTGTTGTTGTTGTTGTTGTACAAATTCCTGGCTAAGTGTGGGTTGTGACCAGGTAATGTACGAGGGAGTGTGTGTCACACAGAGGTCCAGAACTTGTGAGCTGGAGCTGAACTGCTACACCTATTCTCTTGTTGCGATGTTATCAATTGGCGTATGACTCTGTTTTTGCATCGGACTCGAATGGGTAGTAGAGGAGAGTGTGATAGATGCTACGCAAGCCTATTATCACTTAAAACTGATTTGTGCTTAAGTCACCGTCCCGGCACCACCACGCTGTGAAGCATGTGGTGGACATCATCGAAATCTATGGTCGAACTGTCAAGAACAGCGTGGCCTTTGACATGTATAATACCTGTCCCATAAAAATGGTCGTTTGTGGTGTCTGATTCCACACCTACGGTCAGGCTAGGTCACCGCATGGTGACGTAGCTCCTTAACTCTGCGAAAACCGGTCCAAATACAACGAACAAAAAACTGAACCGCTAATTTAAAAAAAACCCAGTTAAATGAAGTAAATACACACCGGTTTAAAATTCACAGTTTTCAAAGGAAATATGTTTCATATTAGGTTTGGCAGATTTTCTTAATTTGAGTGGACCCAATTGTGAAGAAACTCGAGGCGTTCGGCGGGATTT